TTAGCCTTTCATCACCGATCACCCCCTCAGACACCAACTCGGGTCGAAACCCCAATCCGGACCAAACGATATCTGACCTGTACCCTTTGATCCTCGAGATATCATTGGATCCTTTCCTTAAAAAAGGCATCCAATGTAGCTCGTTGGGTCACACACGTGCATAAGTCATCACAGAACGTCAAGTTGCGATCGCATCGTGATGAAAACTCACTGATTAGCAAGAGAGAATAAGCAAAAAATATAATCACGAAATATTATAGACATTCGAATTCAGTATCTACGAAGTACGGAAGGGTTCATGTCATGATAAATATAAGAAATACTGTTGATAAAGTGTTGAAAATCGGTTCTCGTAGCTGGGGTCAACTAACTCGGCAGTCAGGAGAGACGATTCACAGTCGCTGATTTCCCTCCATGAAGATCAAGAAGGACATCAGTTTGATTTTGAATCAGTGAGAATTATCCACCAAACCCGGGAAAACATGCCAGAGAATTTTTCTCGAGGTTTAGTACACTTCAATCAACTCAATAAACAGGCACATCGAACTGGATCACGTGTACACGCCAATGCAACTCAAGGATCAAATGAGTCAACAAAAGGTCACGCCGACCTGGGAACAAACCGGAATCGCAATCAGGATGCAAGGACAACCTCTGCCCCTCACCCACTCGCACCAGCTCGACAGCGAACCAAGTCGAACAGTCAGAACAGGGGACAAATTAGTCGATGAAGAAGAACACATGCATAAACGAACGGGTACAGGCAGAAGACTGCCACTTGACAAGCACTGATGATTTCACCTCGGCTGGTGACGAAACGTTTGCAAGCGAATTACCAAGCTCGACGAGCAGGCGAAGTGGAATACAATTGGCTGCATACGATGAACAATAACCAAATAAAGCTATTGGTCAACTTTCGACTAACAATGAAGACGACTACCGAGCAAAACTGAATTGGCAATTCTGGTCAACCTTGAATGTGAGCTGCTTGGGTGGTAATGAGTAAAGTCCGGATGTGCCGGCAGATATGCACTATTAAATGAGTTCTTATAAGATAGAAACTGTAGTCTAGTGCTTCCGAGGGTACGTGCACGACTGACCGAATGAAATAAGGATTGCGCGTGAACATGAATTCTGAAGGAGACTCCTTCGATTTCAAATCATGCTTGAAGTTTGATAGTTTTCGACATTGCCATGCCTATTAACGAAAGGTACAATTCCTCTCGACCATAAATCTGTGATTTGATTGTGTATGCTAATTTATTACAATGTGGCCTCACTTGTTGATGACAGTCTGCGGAGGCCCAAACCAATTGGATCTCAATTTCACTTGCAAAGGAGTGCGACAACATAATGTCTCGTTATACTCGTTTACGAAGATTATTCTATAATTAAGATAAACCCCTAACTGGCTTTCATGAAAGATTACTGTATTTAGAAAAATTGATGAAACTGGTCAATTCCAGTCAAGAAATTAAACGTTGCGCACTTTTTTGATAGACAATTTCTTACTACTGTAGCTGTAATTAAGTAGATTGTTATGCAATTGAAATTATTAGACCACCCGGTCAAACCAGCGAGCAGGGATGACAGCAATCGAGATATAGTTCCAAATAGGTGACGCAAACTATTATCCCTATTGGTATAAACATTCTTACACCACTATGATAGATGCATACAAATGAATTACATGATTTAAAAAGTGAATCACGCGCGACCACAGAGCAACCAGAACAAAACACGGTCACTGAGTATAAATTGATCAATAGCGAATACGATGACGACAAATTCGTACGCATCAAACCAACCCGATAACAGTCTGCACGACCGTATGCAACATTCTGTGCAAAAATTAAACCTCTTAGACAGATCCTAGTAATCTTATGTTGAAGATGGCTACTCTAGTGCAGAGGTCAGTGAGTGGCACTTTTAAATGTATCAACAACTTTATCTCAAGGAAATAAAAGTATTAGTTCCTATTCGCAAAATCTTCCGACTGCTCAAACACGGATGATTACCAGAACGAGTACAATGGAAGCGCAGTTACTTTAGAAGCAAAAAGGGTTAGGAGCGATTAAAAAATTACTCAATCCAGATACGGGGAAACGGAAATTGTACCTCAAAGAAAAGAGTTCAATAAATCAATTCAATCAACTACTAATGACATTCGGAGAATGAAAGCATTTCCGCTAAGAACCATTTAAAAAGAGTATAAGGAACTGGTCCCCTTTTTTGATAACACGTCAATGTGAGATAAATAGTACGAGAGGTAAAGCAAATAATCGTGAAGATCATACTTATAATAACCGGTAACATTAGCCCTGAGACGGAGTGGTGTACCATACAGCGTTCCCTAATGAGTGAGTTGATTATTGCGCAACTTAATTTGTTCATCCTTCGGTAATACACTTTATTCCATTAAAAACTATCACTGACGAAGTAACGATTGGATAAAATAAATGGGCAACAAGCAGCCGTGAATACAACGCGATGAAATCTGTCATGATGTCTGCATTCATGCGCAGTAATGGACTATTATTGTATACACTAAAGCAATACAATAAAGACGTTATCAATCAAAGAAAACCAGCGGAGCAAAAGCATGAACAACAGAACACGAAATTAAAAGGGGTTCGCCGAAAATATCCATCAGATATATCACGTTGACACCTCCAGGGACGTACTTTGAAAGGGTTAAACATTGGATCTCAATCTAACACAGTAACGTGAATCACTTCTGGTTTGTTGCCCAACTGCAGTAGTGAGACGCCTAAACGAAGGTCAAGAATTGATACGGGACAAAAACCGCGGTGTATTTTCGAAAACACCGCGCGAACAGCAACTCTAGATATCGTTGGATCCAGGTGAACGAACGCAAAATACACCAATGGACTGAGCACTTTAACCAGCCCCACTTAATGCAAAGTACCTCTGAGATTCATAACGTCCGTCACTAACTGTACTGACCCTTTCGTCTATCATTGCAAAAGTAACTGTGCTAGCCAGTCAAGAGGAATCAAACAAAAGAACAGAAGTGCTGTCGTTTTCAGTATTGCTATCCGAAAAATTCAGAAGTTGAATTTCTTGCTTTCTTCGGTTGTGTGAAAGACTTATCGCTGGTGCTACCTCGATCGTCTATTCAATAAAAGGAGAAACGATTACTACTATGAAGTAGTCTTCATTCCCCGGTATTGCATTCGCATCATACATTTTATCCAATCGTGAACTTTCTGGGTTCCAAAGTGACTATTCCGTCATTTAAACTCATCCTGGTGATGATCCATGTTTTCATTAGTCAGTGAATCTTGCGACTGACAATTCATACTTGTATGTTCAATGAGGTGCAAGCCATCGATTGACCTCTGCGCATACGCACGACGAAAGTTCGCTGTGATGCCCAAAGATGACACTAGAAGGCGCTATTTAAAATGTGTGAAGATGCCATTGGTCTTCCGATGCCGTCGCCTAGAGTGGTTTGACCAAGTTCCGAGGCGATTAAGAGGTAGTCTTACCATTCGACGCTTGCTGACATCTTGCGCAGATTAGTACTACTGTCTGGGTTAACAACCGGCAGTCAAATTTGAAATGAAGCATCCAGACAGCTGCTGGATTGTATGGAGAGGCTTCCGGTCAATGATCTGTACGGGTCCGGTGGTTGATCACCACGTATACATAGCCGCTTCCAGAAATATCCATGGAGCCAACTCATCCTCAGGCAAGACATAACAGTATGAGTGCAAACCAGTAAAATGACAATTTATCACATGATAATGGATGACCTCAATCTTATTGTTGGGTGTAGCATACGCGCACGGTTATAACCAATCAACTGAGTAAATGCTTAATACATGAAATAGTGAAAGGAGAACTCACCGGCAACAATGTGTACGCATAAACGAGCCACGTGAGATTTGTCAAAGTTTCTGTAGAACGCAGAAAGTAGGCCGAGAGGATTTGTGATGCGAAAATGTTCGTAAATTATGCGGCGAACGTTATCCATTGGAAAGTGACACTCGGTAACACCCTCTTCGATGTCCAAGAAGCGTAAAATCAAATTATGCGCGATCCAGTAGGCTAGAATAATATGGAAGAGTAAAACGAATGAATTTCAGTATGCATATTACCAGAATAGGGATTGGAAAATCTCATTCGAGATTGACGGAAAAGCAGATAAATTCAGAAAATATTTTAGTGAACAGTTATCATCTGAGTCAAGTCAGGAAGACAAAACGCCAATGATCCGAACCGAAATCGAACACAAAACAAAGAAATGGCATGCATACTTCATGTTGTTGATTATATCATGATACAAACAATCTCCAAGGTGAGGGAAGGAGTAAAGTGATACCGGTGGGGCTTGAAAACAAAACTGTCACGGCCATATGCTGGTGGCCTTAGCAGCTAAACTACCGTCGCCATCGGGTCCAAAATAAGAACAGAATACAAATCATGCTAGCGAGTGGAAATAAAATTGCAGTTCCACTTTCGATTGGAAGTTGGTACAATCACCAACTATGCAAATTTGTGCGTCGGTTTTGGTTGCTGTATTTTGGCTGTCCATTTGGATGAAGAAGTGGGAGAAAGACGGAAAATTGAGAGAAAGGGTCGGAAGGAAAATGGAGAATTTTAGTGGACTAAGGTTACAAAGAAATGGAGAACATGCACGTGTGCATGGTTCGTACGCCTCTTCCTGGTTGGTTTGGAATCAGGGTTTTTATCGAACTCCCCTAGGTGAACTGCCAGTGGTTCGCCGACCTGGTTATAGCCCCGGATATTGACTTTTCGTCCTCGCTTAGATGAGGAAACACCGCCCCTGCCTTCTTAACCCGCTGCCTTACGGGTCAAGCTTTGGTTAGCGGGACGGGAGATTACCGCTTTGAATTCTCCCAGGAAATTCACCTGCTTTGATCGGAGCAATCTATCAGCATCGCGTCCTCGAGTAACTCACGGATTTTTTGTTTTTCTTTCAAAGATTATTGTATCGTGATTTGTTTGGCAGACCGTCTGGATTCAGACGCATGGGAAATACAAACACAAATAGGGTACCAGACAGACTGACGAATGGTGGGAAAATGAACGATTGTTTACACTAAAATCAGGCGCTTGGTAACAGGAAAAGACAGACTTACCACACAACATGCACATCTCAAACTATGTTTCACAAGTCTCTGCATTTCGACCACTGCGTCAAACAAATCATGGTTCTTATGTCCTGGTTTTCAAAAACGTTTTTGGTGTAAGTACGTAGATCTGCCTTTAAATATAAACCCAAACCTGATTTATTTCCCTCTTAGGTGTTTAGTGGTGCACTTTCTCACGCTCCGTCGACAATAAGCCAGAATTAGATGCGTTATGATAGTCCCGACCACCTTTGCGATTTAGTGCATACTCCCTCGGATAACAAGAAAACTTACCACTTCCACCATCTCCCAGAAGATAACCGTTGCCACCGACTCGTTCGAATGATAAATCACTACGGATGTACTTGCATATTGAACCGGTCCCAGATATGAGAACTAGAGCCGCTATAAACAAAACAAAAAGTTAAAACCAAGTCACAAAGATTAATTAGCGAATTCGTGTGTGGTAATTTCACGTATATAGTGCAACACGTGTGGTAAGGATGTCCAACGAATGAAAACCTATCAAATGGAATTAGATGAAAAACGAAAGACCTTTCATGCGATTGGAATCAGGCATATGCCTTATTGGTTTGCACAATTACTGTGCAGGCCTTTTTCGAAGATGAGGAGAACAAACGATTACCACCACGAGGGGACCTGCTTAATGTTCTAAACTATGAAGAACAGATCCTCCAGTTCTCTAAAAAGCTTTATTTCACCATCTTTAAATAGAACTGAGAAGGCCATCGGAGCCCAGCTCTTAGTGACTTAACAAGACCTGGATATCCCTGCGGATCTTCCACTCAGATCGTGGGTCAGTCAAAACAGAACATGTGATGTGCACTGGAATAGTTGGGGGAGGAGTTGACAACGGAGGCTAGTTAAACTGCAGCTCAAAGTGTTCCACCCAGCATGCCAGACGTTGCTGTTGATTGTGAATAGGTGAATCGTTAGTTTCATAGATCGTATCGCTAACACTTGGAGCTTTCCTACCGATGATCCGGATGAGATGAAATACATTATTGGAATTTTTCATGGTGGCAGCATGTTCTAGCACTGCTTTGATCTCTCCGTGGGCTCACTTCAAGTTCACGTTTCTTTATGCTCACTGCTGGTCGGAATTGATAGTGTGTCAACTCAGTGGAAATCCAGGTTGTCACAACAACATGTGTTAGACCACAACTCAGTGGGCCGATGCAACACACAACAGTTATGATGAGCAATCAGTGCTGGCTCTATCATTTCAACGGTCACCATTTGAAGGGCAGTAGGGTACACTGGTCGAGACAGCATAGCATAAGCTAACCGTCGCTATGTAGTGCGTTTAGCACATGGGCAATCTATTGCACAGTAATGCATGATCGAATTCGACGGGGGTGATTCAGTACGATCAGCATTTGTGGCTTACGGTGTAGTCGAACTGTGCTCGTCGCGAACTCGAGTAGGGTGGACGGCCGGTGACATACCAGCACTGGGATTGTCTTAAGATTGTCGGAAGATGGAGTCAATGATGGTTCCCGTTTTTCGAGCGACTGGAATCCAGTCCGAAAGGACTTCCCAGATGCGCCTCGTTCCAAGATAATCGACGTACTCTAGCATGCCTATCAGGTGAAAGAATTAAAATATCAATCCGGCTCGATTTATGCAAGATGTCGTGCAGCTTTTGGTGAGAGATGTCTTCGACTGCATTTTCAGTTTGAACAATCATTAGTCATGCACCTTCGTGCTGCGGTTTTGGTTGTTACCTTTCGGATGTGGTCCGTGGGTACGTATATCGAGAAGATGAACTAGATGTGTCAGTTAGAGCGACAAATGTTTACTTTGAACGAGTTTAAAAGTTTCACTGCGCACAACCTACTGTACATTGGGATCCGCTCAAACAGCGCGAATTCTGTTGTCACTCAGAGCCACGCAAGAACAGAAGTTGCAGTCTCTGGGTTCCTAGAAAAGCGTAAGCGGAACTTCGCATATTGGTTGAATGAAGAGATCAATCGAATGATCGAGCTAGAAGCTTGAATGCCAGTGTCTTGGATGCAACACACGTCCATGGCTAGGGACTTCAGCCAGTGAGACTTAGATGCTGTTCGAGGCGGGGCGCAAGATAACAGCGGCAAGATTTAAATCTGAGGCACTACTGTTAGTATGTACTATCGTCTGAAATTCCCGATGGAAGTGAATGGAGGGGAATGGGGTGAAATGGAGGAGAGTTGGAGGGGCAGGAAGGTGTGCACGGTGTAGCATTGCTTTCAGTCATAGAGTGAAGCTTTGAATTAAACAAGGATGTTTATGGTTGTTTGCGTTGGGGCTGTCATACTACTCCGTCGTCCGGTCCAGAATATACCTTATTCGGAGAAGCAGTACAGGCCCGGGGCAACCAAGTACGAAATGCACGACAGTAACGTTGTTCTAGACGAGCCGGGGGCCGGCTGTGTGGTTTATTCGCCTGTTCTTGATAAGCTTGTCGGGTAATTGGAACTTGACAAGGGGTAGTGGTCACATTTAGTGGTACGCCACATTCGCCACGTCACAGCGCTGTTTACAGATATGCAGTAGTTGGGAAAGAGGTGAAAACCAAAAAATTGTTGATCCGTGGTTTTAGAATGGGGAATCGTGAAAGCAGAGAACGGAGAGGGATGAAACAGGAAGGGAGAGGTCACACACTTAGGTCAAAGGGTCATGGGTTAATTGACGTTCAGTGTCGGGTCTGGGCCAGGGTAACTGTAGGGCTTTGACGAATTGTTTTTGTGAGCATAGAGTTAGTCGCAATAACCTTATTGCTACTGATTCTGCTGTGGCAAGATGGCGTTGTCGGAGGGCTTTGTAGGGGTTTGAGGATACCTTGTAGATAATTTTTTTCGAGTGTAATCACGGCGCACCTCGTAGATACCGGACATCAGAAAAATTATCTTGCGACAGCAGAGTCGGTAGCAATAAGGTTATTGTGAACAACTCTATGCTCACAAAAACAATTACTCAAAGCCCTACAGTTACCCTGGCCCAGACCCGACACTGAACGTCAATTAACCCATGACCCTTTGACCTAAGTGTGTGACCTCTCCCTTCCTGTTTCATCCCTCTCCGTTCTCTGCTTTCACGATTCCCCATTCTAAAACCACGGATCAAAGGGTCAT